AAACTGTTATTTTCGAGAAGGCTGAAATGCGTTGTTTTTTGACGTTCGCAAATTGACGTTTAATCAATCGATGAATTAATGTCAATTTGACATTAGTTTCATTGACACATGTCATTTGTCAATGATTGCGAAAATTGTTTAAAAAAAAACAACGAACAATATGTAAACGGATTTTGTCTCTTGAAAAAATGTCGACAATTCGCATATGTTTTGAAACGATTAATACAGTTTTCAGTTGTATTTAATGAACAAATTAAAATGTCGTAAATTGTTTTCACAATGAGACTAAACGTCATAACAGACAGCTGTCAACTAATGTTCAGATCGTCCGATTGTTTTAAGAAACGTTTTCAATAACTTGATTTTGTTTTTCGAAAATGGCGAGAGTGAAAAAACTGAACTTATTATCTCGTCTTCGTTGAAATTCATAAATAAAAATGCGCTCATCAAACGAAAGAAGCGGAAAATGCAAAAGAAAAAAAAAACACATAACATGTTATTGTTTAATGTTGTTACGTTGATAGAGTGCAAGACCGTGGCCTAATTCGAAAATGCTATTTTTTGTTTGACGTTTCTCGTAAAACGTCATAATTCGTTTCCAAGGAAACGGCAATTTCCGATTATCACGTGACACCTTCGGATTCGATGAATCAATAAACTCGAGGGAGAAGAAAAAATGAATGCGAGGGAAAAAACGCTGGAATGTAAAACGCGTAAAAAGAGAAATGTGAATGCGAGGATTAATGTAATGGGATTTTAGTATCAATGTTATGTGTCAGAGCCTTTGGGGTCAGCCACAATATTGCACACACACACCCAGACAGGCTAAGCACCATTTCACATAGTTATTTATGTACATTGAGACGACACAGAATAATCACGTTCCGATCACACGGATGGAAGAAGGGTCAACGGAAAATACCACCCTTCTAAACAAAGGAAAACCCGACGAAACAAAAGCGATCGTACGGAATTTGTCTTTTTCTTCTTTTTCTTTTGACAAGAAAAAGTGAAAGAAATATAGCCGTAACCATGGATACGATTGGTTTATTTGCAATTAGCGAAACACAATTTTCTTTTGTTTTAACTATTGAAGCAATTGTTTATTTGCTACTAGCCCAATTGTTTGTTTTTTCATTGAAATCAAGTCAACTTTTCACGCATTTATGTTTCGGTAATTGATAAATGGTAAAAATAAAACTAAAATAAACTGAAGACGGCGTATATCTGCTGTATGTGTGTATATGTTTTGTATGTAGATACCGTCGGTCGGTCGTTCGTTCGTTCGTTCGATCATCACGCAGCAGTCGCATGCAGAAGCGAAAATACAAGACTTCACAGAGCTATATTTATATGCGCTTCCCAAACTGTCCCGACGATTTTCCCCTTTTTTATACATTATTTACTCGTTTCCAAGACAACACACAACTTACCGAGAAATTTACCCGTTGCCAACAAAGATATTTTCAAAAACAAACGCCTCTCGAAACAGCGCCATTTTAGATAGAAACAAAATCTAATTTTAAATATGTCAAAAAAAAAACATTCGATTATAGTTATCGCTGCGAAAACAGATTTGTTAAATGCTCATGTCTTTATTTGTAAATTTACATCAAAATGAAACATTTGAATTTGATTAAAAACATACAAATTGTCGGCATTTCTTCAATTAACAATATGTGTTTACATATTGATCATGGTTTAACAAGTGTCAAGTGTCAATTAAGCAAATGTCAATTTTGACATTAGATCAAACCAAAAAATGTTATCAATTCAATCGTCTTTTTTTTTTAATTTAAACATGATAATAAACAAACAAAAAATATCAATTGTTGAAAACAAAATTCATCGATAAACTTGTTTTCACTCGAAACAATTCAAACCCAAAAGAAAGTGTCAATGTGCAAACGTCAAATTTGTAAACGTCAAAAAAAAAACACATCGCATTTCACTTGTTTTTTCATTCTCATTACGAAAAATCATCATCAATGTTTTCAGCCTTCTCGAAAATAACAGTTTTAATTAAAACAATGTCAATAAACTGAAGTGAATGCATGATTTACAGAAATCATCAGTGTTTTCAGTCTTCATAAATACAAAAGTTAAGCAGACTTAATTAAGAATATAAATAAATTGTGATTAAACAATAATGTTCGCTTGTTTTCTTAAAGACGCTTCACGAAACAATCGATGCGAAACAAAATGCGTGAAGAGATTGTTTATTTCTTTTGTTTTTGAAACAATCGATGCACTTTTGATAACCAAATGTTTTTCAACATCTGATTTACGCATCGCAGAACATGTATCAATTAGAAAATTTACACTTTTTCATATTGTGAGTTTGCTTCTAGAAAAGCAATTATTTTAACCTCTATTCGTCTATACGCATCGCAAAAACATGCATTAATTACGACAATTACGCATTTTTTTTCAAAGCCTTCGTCATATAATCGATACACTTTCGAAAAAAAAAACAAAAGAAAACAAACAAATGTTTTAAAACCATGGTGATTTACGTATTGCAACACATGTTTTAATTAACATATTTACAGATTCAACGTTGTTTGTTTTGTTTATAAAATCAATTGATACGTGAATGAAACATAAACAAAAAACGATAAATCTAAATTATAGAAAACATTGAAAATTTGACTGATTTATATAAATTATGAATTATTATCATCAATTATGATTGCAGTTGCGTTGCATAAATACGCAATCATTATCGAGTAAGCTGATCGATAGTAATTCTTACGAAAAAAAAAACAAATTGAATGATGATTGGATATTCCGATGAGATAAGAATATTTGCGACTTGTGTAGTTCAATTAAATAAACAATTGAAACATCAAATGTGCATTTGTTTTATCGATGCGGCAAGTTTAACAATAGGCGGCGGATAAAACTGAGCTTCCATTGTTTTTCCAGACTTTTAGAACAAATGCACCTCAAATAAACAATCATCATTACCATGGCATTATCTAACAATTAAAAATGACAGTAATTGGAAGGTCCGAGCGAGGAAACGATAACAACAATATTATTGGAAAAAAAAGGTATTTCGTGAAAAACAAGTCGTTAAATTCTATTGGTCCTGTTTACTGCTGTATTCGCTTCAAATCTTCAAACCTGAGTTAGTTTATTGGCCAATAAACGTGTCTACCAGTAAAATGTTAAATTAAGGTTAAAAATTGAAAAAATCCAAGAAACAAAAAATTATATTGACTTAAGTCAAAAAAAAACGTCAAAATTGGATTAATCACACATAACCTGATAATGAAGTAAATGCCGAGAACAAAATGCGTCGATTGTCAATCAAATGTCAAAATGACGTTATGTAACATAACAAATGAAAATTTAAAGAATCTAGGAAGTCTTCAATATCGAAAATGATTGTTTTTTATAACCTTATAACGATTAAACAAAATTTCTGACAGATTTTAAATGTCAATATGACATATGCAGAAATGTCAAATAAAAACGAAAACAATTTGAATTGGAGTTTTCATTGTCATGTTAAATATGATCTTTGTAAAAGTAGAATAGATATAAAATAAGAAATATAAAGAGGGAACAAAACGCATCTTTGTTGCCAGCCAGCTCTGAAATGTCATACGCGGAAATGTCAAAGCGATTCGGTTTCGTTTATTTTCGCGCGTCGCAGACCAAACAAAAAAAACAAACGAAGGTCTATGGAAAACAGTTTTTCCACAGCAAATGCGATTGATCGTGTGCATTTCTTTTTCTTTTATTAAATCGATTGAGTGAGTGTTTATTGTCTACATCTTGTCTTCTTGTTGTTTTTTTTTGTTGCTATCAATAGCTATACTAGAGTATTTTTATTGCAATTGTACGGTGCAAGTTGGAGGAGTGATGATGATGATGATGGTAGTGGGAGGTGAAAAAGGAACTGGAGTATGGGGAAAGTGTGCGTGCGAGCGGATTAGAGTTTTGGCTTAAGTTGAGGCGGACTTGCGCTGAAATCTCAGTCACAGTCGACGCGACGTTCAGTTGACATCGCCTCCTCCCTTCCCTCATTTACACGCACAACTCTTCTTCTTCTTCTACTACAACTACTACTTGCCATCTCCTCTTTGACTATCTATGTATCTGCAAGTGCAACGAGTCTTTGGTTCTGGTCAGAGTTAGGAGGCAGTCAACGCGTTGCAACTGATGTGAACGCATTCTCTTCATGATCCAACAGATCGAGTGGAGAAGAGATCGATGTGGATTCAGCGAATAACCATCATCGATTCCAAAGAAGTAACATCAAGTGTTAAAACAGTGCAATTATAAAGTGCAAAGTTGTTGTTGTTGTCGTTTCGTACACCATCCGAGTTTGTAGTTTGTGAAACAAAAAATAGGGGTACTCCAATTTCGATAGACCAGAGAAGAATCTGCAAGAATACAGGTTAGTTAATGCTGTTCAATATTAATCGAGATTGCGGTGGTCGTAACCAAGGTGATTATTAGTTTTATAAGTTACCCTGACAACCATGACACGACCCAAACGCGTGTTCTTCTCTCGCACCCCTCCAAAAATTTTCTTCGTTTCCTCGAGCACCGTAATTTTTGGAATGCGGAATCGTTCCGTTTCTTCTGTGCACGTGAAATGCACGCACATGCGGCGCGCGCGTGTAAAGAAAGTGAAAGAACCGACGAAAAGAACGAACGCTGGTATTGCCCGCAGTATTCGAGCGACCGGATGAATGAACGGCGGCGCCTCGAGCCACTTTTCACACTCACTTGTTTTTTTTTTAGTTGTTGTTTTGTTTCTTTTTGGGATAGGTCAGTCTTTGCGCGAAAAATCGAGAGCTCCATTGAGACGCTCCAAACCTTGACTCGTTTTTTTTTTTTTTTAATTTGTTTCGCTTTCAAGTTTACGTCCTTAAACATAAACAATAATTAATTAGAAAAACCTCAATTTTGATTAATTACACCGTTCGTTTTCATCTCACCTTACTTTCAAACATATTCCTACGAAGAGACCTTCAAGTTGTACACACAACATTCGCTTTAAAATTACGATAGATTGATGAATGTCATAAAAGAACTGTTACCATTTCTTTCTCAAATAACTTTTCAATGAAACAACAGAAATGTACAAGTTTTTATATTTGGTAAAATTAGAAGATCCAAATTACACGAAAATCAAATAAAATTTGATTTAGCAACAACATAAAACAAATGGTGGATGATTAAAATGATAACGCTTCTTTTATGACAATTCATTACGTTTTTCTCATTCACACAACTAATATATCCTTGTTAAGGTGGACCTTCAAAATAACTTTCTAAACTAAATTCAGGTCATTTACGCAAAAATGTTATGTTATGTTTTTCTCTTCTGGTGATTCGCTATAACGTCGTTTGATCATAATTTGAAACGAAATATAAATGTTAATTCTGCAGAAAGCGATAATTATATAACAATAAAAAAGTAGTTCGAATAATAACGAATGGTCGCGTTGGCCCTGACTACTTTTACTCTCTTCACTTATTTTACATATATTTGAAACTGACAGGAATGTCAACCATTTGAATTGTATTGGAAACCATCGGATATTGTCGTTAATTACGAAACAAAAGTTATTGAAAGATTTGACATTGACGTTAAAAACGTCAAATGAAAATGAAATTATGATCGTAAGTGCAATTGCATAAATCGAAACAAAAGCAAAAAAAACAAAAACAACTGACGATTAGTTTATGGGGATTAGATATGCCGGGGGAATAGATGAAAAACGCCGCGGGAATCGCACGTTAAATTTACAAACATTCGGCGGAAGATCAAAGGAGGAGAAATGTTTAAATGGGCAAGGCAATAATTGCCGTCGTCCATCGAATGAAGAAGAACCAAGTATAAGCCGTAATCATCATTATCATCATCGTACCGAGTCGAAACGTACGTACGTATGTACGAATTTACAACCATTAAACGTTTGCATAATCTACGAGCAAGAAACACGCACCGAATGAATGTGTTAGGGACTTTCGATATTTGCCGTTCGTTTCCATCGGGTTTTATCCATCTGTTTAATATGTTCAGTTCAACACAATTTTGATTGATAGCTCTTTTTTTTTCTAAAGTTCAGTTCACTGCAATCGATTAAATTTAATTCTAATTAATTCAAAAATTACATAAAAATGACTCAATGTCATTTTTTGATTTTTATTGAAACGTCAGATGGTTCCATTTGTTTTTGTTATTGTTGGCATATTGGAATTCGTAACAACAAATCGAGTGAACTTGAAATGTCAGTGTCAATTTTTTGGCGTTTAAACATATGTTTGACTTGTTATTATTGGAATTTGAAAAATATTTATGTCATTTTTTGACGTTTAACCCTTTAGAAATATTCTAATTGTATTTTGTTATTGATGGATTTCGTAATAACAACTCAAATGAACTAAGAACGTCAATGTCAATCGTTTGACGTAAAAACAGCTGTTTTACTTGATTTTGTCGTTCCTGGTGTTAGAACTAATAATAACAATTCGTGATTGACAAAATGTCATCATTTGACGTTTGAACAGATGTTTTATTTGAATTTTTTATTATTGCTATTCGAATTTGAAATTAGATATCAAGTAAATTTGGAAATGTTAAAGAAATATTTTTTATATGAATTTGTTATTGACGAAATTCAAAGTCGTAATAACAAATCGAATAAACTTGGAATGTCAATTTTTTGACATTATTGTTATTGTTATTCGAATTCATAATAACGGATCAAATCAATTTGGAATATTAATATTATCTTTTTGATGTTTTACTTGAATTTATTTAAAGAAATATTCTAATTGAATTTCTTATTGATCGAATTCATAATAACAAATCACGCGAACTTCGAAAGTTAATGTCAATTTTTTGACGTTTAAACATATGTTTGACTTGAGTCTATCATTATTGTTGTTCGAATTCATAATAAACGGATCAAATCAATTTGGAATATTAATATTTTCTTTTTGATGTTTTACTTGAATTTATTTAAAGAAATATTCTAATTGAATTTCTTATTGATCGAATTCGTAATAACAAATCAAGTGAACTTCGAACGTTAATGTCAATTTTTTGACGTTTAAAGAAATATTCCCACTGCATTGATAAAATTGGAATTCGTAATAACAAATCGAGTAAACTTGGAATGTCAATTTTTTGACGTTTTAACATATGTTTGACTTGTAATTTATTTTTATTCGAATTAAAAATAACAAATGAAAGAAATTTGAAAAATATTTATGTCAATTTTTGGACGTTTAAAGAACTATTCCCACTGCATTGATAAAATTGGAATTCGTAATAACAAATCGAGTAAACTTGGAATGTCAATGTCAATATTTTGACGTTTGAATTGGAATTCATAACAATAAACCAATTGAACTTATTGACGTGTAGTTGTCAAAATGTGACATTGTAGGGAATGTTATGAAGATATGCTTGGCGGTTGCCAGGAAGCGCGTTTTGGCAGCGGCTTGCGCCAACGACCCGACCTTTACCGCAATTAGCGCGTTAACCTTTCTCAACGTCCGTTCAGTTATTATTATTTTTTTTTAAATCAATTGTACGAATCTGTTTCAGGATGTGTTCGATCGTGATGCAAACCGACTACGAGAAGTTGGTCGCGGCTCACACGCCGCCGATCTTCAGCCACAGTCCACCAACGACGGCGAATTTCTTGTCGCGCTACGAGCCGTCCCCGTTCGTCGTCGCCCGCTACAAACCGATAAAGGTGTGCTCGACGTCATCGCCGAAGAGGCCGTGCCTGGTGATCCGTCAATCCGATGATTCCTCCTCGTCCGGTGACGAGGACCCGACGAGTCCGTCGCGTCTGAAGAAGCGCGTGGTGTTCGCCGACGACAAAGGAATGAGTTTGACACATGTCAGATTCATGACGGAACCGTCGCATCTGCCGCCGCACGCGGATAAAGTGATCCGTTACGCTTCGAACGGTGCGCGCCACGTCACCACGCCACCGACGATACCGTCGCCGCCGACGGAATCCTGGGAGATCACCTTCTCGCAACCGGCCTCCGATTACCTGCGCTTCCGAAAGGCCGTCGACATGAACAAGGTATCCCTGGAGAACGTCATCATCAAAGAGTCTGACAGTTACGTGATGGGCACGGTCAAGGTGAGCAACATCGCCTTCGAGAAGGAGGTCGTCGTGCGCTGCTCCACGGACAACTGGTGCACGCACGAGGACGTCCTCTGCCGCTTCGTCTCGAACTACACCGGGAGCAGCATCTACGCGATCTACGATACGTTCAGCTTCAAACTGCCGCTGCCGAAGACGACGTCGCGCACCCTCGAGTTCTGCATTTGCTACAGATGCGGCGGCCAAGAGTTCTGGGACAACAACGACAACGTCAAC